CGCTCGAAGCACTTCGAAACAAATGGTCGCCTGTTTTTTCGGAAAAACTGGTCACGTGGCAACAGTACCTTTAGAGGAACGTAGAACGGTCAATTCCGAATGGTACGCAACTATTTGTTTGCCGGAAGTCTTCAGTGAAATAAGGAAAACAAACAAGCGCCGCCGGATCATTCTTCATCAAGACGATGCCATCTGTCACACATCTCGTCTAACAATCGACTATTTGAGCACTCAAAAAATCGAATTAATGGGTCATCCGCCGTACAGTCCTGATTTGGCACCAAATGACTTCTTTTTGTTCCTGAACGTCAAGAATAAATTGCGTGGACAACGATTTTCGTCGGCAGAAGAAGCCGTTGATGCGTTCAAAGACCATATTTTGGAGGTGTCTCAAGCAGAATGGAAAAAATGCTTTGACAAGTGGTTCGAACGCATGCAAAAGTGTATAGATCATAAAGGAGAATATTTTGAAAAACAATAAATGACAAATTATTTTTTTTTTTATTATTATTTTTATTATTAGGCTCAAAATATAAATAGTGACCCTCGTATGATAAAGCATTGGAAAAGCAGCGCTCTGAGAAAGAACAAGAAAATGCAAAGATTATTCAAAAAAGATCCTTGTTTCAAAAAATTTCAGAATTGAAGGTTAAGAAGGCAAAACTGTTGACAGAGAAAACTAATGAACTAAGTGCTCTTGATGAAAAAATAACGTCATTGGTATCATTAACATTTCATTAAGAGCCTTGTGCAATTTTTTATGTTAACTTACAGTAAGTTTTCTTTAAGAATTCTTTAATTTTTCTTTAAGAATTTGAAATTTTAGCTTTTATGTAAAAAGCTAACGTAAATTTAATTGAGATTTAAAATGTTTTTACTAAGGCTGTGTTATGCACTGCAAGTACTGAAATTCTATAGTGCATGTTACGTACACTATAGACTTTCAGTACTGGCAGTGTATATCGGAACATAGCCTAAGACCATCGAAATTTTAAAGTTGTCTGTTCTTTTGTTTATATCTAAGAAATATCTCTATGTCACTTATGAACAAGTGAATAAAATAAATATTAATTTTATATTTTTATAACTTTTCTTTCAAATAGCTTCTAATCTTTATAATAGCAGATTAAAGTTTTAATAAACAGGAATCAGTTTTGATAAAAAAGAAACTGTATTCATTGATTTATGTTCCTTATATATATTCTAAGTACAGCAGCAAAGAGAAAGAGAGGAAGAGGAAAAATATCGTATTCATAAAAGGAAAAGACATAAAATACTACTAACTTAATAATTAAATACAGTATCAGCAACATTAACGATAATTTACATTGTTATATTACATTGCTCTTTCAACAAAATATTTAACAATTTTCAAATCAGGATGAAAATTAAAAAAAAATTTTATATTTCAATAATACAAAATATGTATTATTGAAAGTCAGGGAAAATCAGAAAATTTTGTCTGGAAATCAGGGAAATGTCAGGGAATTTTGGGATGAAAAATTTGTGGCAATTCTGAGAGAGTAATGGAAAAAAAAACATTGAATCACGGAGTATTAAGATAAATTGATTTTAAGTTTAATTATCTGTGTGTTTCGTCTGTACGAAATAGAGACCTTGCAATTCGTAAAAATTGAATTCAGCTCAAAGGCAACGTCGGCGCAGCGGATCTGAATGAATTCCTAACGCGTTTTCCTTGCGGGCTCTTTTCTCCAAACTATCACATCAGATTGTTATTCCGCGCAGGCATTAAGTTACGTATTGCGTCGTACATCGCCACCTCTTCCCGGTCGATCGTCTCTGACCGATTCCCTCGCGTATGTTCTGAGGCACGTATGCACGCGTGTATGTATGTAAGTTCCTATAGGGACGACCGGCGCCTTCGTTCCACCTCACCCTCCGAGTCGAGATGCCGGTTCCCCGGTGTTCACTTCTCTCTTTCTGCCTTACTCTCTTTCTCTTCTTGCCTCTCTCTTTTTTCGTCTCTTTCTCTCTAGGGTCGACCCTTTCCTCCTCTTTCCCCGCCGTGGAATCCAGTGTTAGGCCTGCCGCTTAATGTTGCTGCTGCTGCTGCCGTCGCCATCGAGAGTCCCTCGGATAGCAATCGCCAGTCCGAACTCGACCGTCGTCCGGAGTGGATCGTTCATTCAACGCGACACTTTCCACGAATTACCGGGTACTGCCGGGCAGTGGAAGTGTTTCGGCGCGTTGGTACCCTTCGCACGTGGCGGAGCATCCTACTTCCGGTTTGTCCCAAGTGTTAGCATCGCTTCGTACTCTCTCACCCTTGCGATCTCGCGGATCGACGGATATTCTATTTGGTCGAAAAATACTCGCGAAAGGGACGGAAAAATATAGATACGGGAGATAAAACATAGAGACGAAAAGGTAAAGGTGGAGAAAAGGGATGCACGTGTTGTTCTGATGCTTTTAGGGGTTTCTTTTTCGCGAGGGGCCGAGGGAAAGCGCATAAACATGACTGCATGAGACCAGTCTTCGATAGAATAAAATTCTCCGGAGACGGAGACGCAATGGATTACGGCGTTACCGCGTGCAGGCGGTAGTGCTCGTAAGCCGGGGGGTGCTCGAAGCATCTACGCGGGAGAGAAGATTCTATTTATCGCCGATCCCGCGCTTTCTCCTTCGGCTCTCCCCCGTCCGTCGTCCCCGTCTCGTCCGCCGTCCGTGAGAATCGTGCGTCGCTTATGATGGATATATTTTCGAATGGATTGCTCGTGCCGAATGGATTGTCGATCAACAATGTGGAGATAGCCTCCTATCATTCGTCCTTTTGCTCGCCACCGATCACAGAAGCGTAAGTAGTTGCTCGCAAGTCCATGCCCCATGTATTTATTTAACTGTTCGTTGTCGCAAAGATCGTACCTGCGGATCGATTGATAAATACATTTATTTCTAACGTGTAGACTTGTATCGCGATAGGAAATGAAAGGGAGAGTTTAATTGGAAATTTATTATGGCAGAAATATTAGAGACTAGATAAATTTATTATAGCAGAATATATTTGATATTTAATCGTCCATTGACAATGTTAGATTTTAAAGGCGATTTTTTTATTGTGAATTCTAGTAGATGAATTTAAATTTATAAAACGTAAGTAAAATATAATTCAATTTTTATGATAAAAACTCTAAAGCTTTCACAAGTACGTAGGAATTTTTTCAGATTTTTATACAGTCCGGAGTAATATAAAATTCTGCACTGAAATTTTTGAAGATCTATATTGCGAATTAAGGGCGAAAATTTCATATTGCTGACAAAGAATTAATGATGAAAATATAGACCCGTATTTTTTCTTAAAACTGCTACGTCGTTTGTATTTAAAAAATCAAGTTAGATATCTCGAAGATTTTTCAATTGAATTCTTATTCACTTCTTTAAAATTAGAGATCTTTAGTTACTCCATACGTAATTTTTTCTCCTCATTTATCTCTGTTTTGTTATTTTTCTATATCGAGATATATTCAATTTATCTTGATATAGAAAAAATTCAAGATATAAACTTTAAGAGACCAACGTATAAAAATAAGTAAGTATTATAAGGTATTAATTATGATTTTTAACCTCTCTCTCTGTCTTTCAAATAATTTGCGTTAGAGACAACAAACATTTGTTATTTTCATTGTATTTAACGCTGGTTACTTTTATTTTTTATATACGAAATATAATTATATATAAATCGCTTCTGCTACATTAAATTTCATCGTTTTCTGGATTTATCGCTATATAAGTACGTACGAGATACAAGCAGTAGGTTTAATATCGATGTTTCGAAATTCTATCGTGCGCATGTATATCGCTGTGAAGAGAATTAAGCAAGACGGATATTACGATATCAAAGTCCCTTGGGCCAAACATTCAATCATTAGAGAAAACTGTCATCGCGATGTCGTGTATGAATGTAAGAATGGAGGGAATGTGCGCAGCGTTCCAACAACGGAAATGTAACGTTATGATATCAAAGGATGCAGTTTTATCGCAAAGGAAATTATGTGACGCTGATCTTAACGCGCACTTAATACTGTACTTTTATTAAGTTAGCGTGAGTGTTGCTATTAGCATTTACTAGAAAATATTTGATATTAGAATTTATATTATATTCTAATAGAGGAAAATACGAAGATGGAACTAGGTCGTCGCGATAAAAATACTGTCATTGATATAGAAGAATGAAGTAAACACGCGATATTTGATATACTATTACCAGTATTTTTATTTTAATAATAATTTTCTAGATCGGAATTGAAAAGTAATGAAAAATAATAGAAAGGTCAACATGAGCAAAATTTCGTTTTTTGCTCGTTTTTTATTTTTTAAATACTTTTTATCATTTTTATTTTATCCCTTTAATCTGAACTGTTTAATATCGCAAATTAAATTGGAAACTAAAAATTTAATGCTTTTATTAAGCGATAAAAGACGATTGTAATCTTGTATTTGTATACTTTTAATATAACTTTACAATATCTCTAAATTAAAGTTATAATTAAAATTAAAAAAAATTTTTTTTATTATCATTAAATGTTAATAAAATTACTAAAATTATGGTCAATAATTATTATTCGTAAGAATATGATTAACATTTCTCAAATACCTCTTGCTACGTAACACGTATAAAAATAAGTATCTTATGAATATACAATGATATAACATGTTATAAGAAATGTAATCGAATGTTTTCGACCAAAAATTCTTTAGTCAATTCGATTAATTTATTCCTTACTGCATCTCGTTTTTCGATATATGTACATATTCATATACACAGAATTTTAAAAACTTTTACTTTTAGAACTTATTTTATATTATAAAATATGAACTTATTCGCTTGATTTTCAAAAAGCCTTTTATGTGTAAGTCGCCGAGTGTTCGAAAACTATTGTGGAGAAATTTCAGAGCTTTTCGATAAAAAATAAATAGATAAAAAATAGGCGCCAATTCAGCGCGCAATTCAAGAGACTACAAATATGATATATATTGAGTCGGGAAAAAAATCTTTACAAGAAAAGACTTTTTTACACGGAGAAAATTTTTTATTTAAAATTACTATAATGTGGTAGTAGCTGCGGTCTTCATGTAAATTATAAGTTTAAATGCTATAGTTATTTTTTTAAAAACAATAATATAATGTAATTTTTACACTTTTTCATAGTAAACATTTTTATTACAAAATCAAACATACCTAGCAAATTTTGTTTGCATACCATAGTAAAAATTAACTGTTTTCATGTTAGAATATGACTTAACAAAATAATTACTTTATTTATGTGATAAAAATTAGTATTACCATAGTAAAAGTTAAGTCGGAATCACATGTTGTAAGAGTCCATCGAAAATACAAGACATAGTAAAGTGTAATTTAAAATTGTATTAAAACTTAATATAAAATTTGCTCCGTGTAGCAACCCATATATTCTATTTTTAAAAAATTGGGAATTACACCACTTGATAAAGCAACATTTAGCTTTAAGAATCTGTATTTTTAATTGCGATGATGATTTGTAACGGAGTTACGAGTAATAAAGTCAGAATTTGCTTTTTACTTAATCCGCAAGTAACATAGGAACAAAAAATCGTAGGAACATATGTAAAAAACGATTTTGTAGCTTGAAGCTTTTAGAGTAACAAAGTAGAGACCTGAGGCTACATTTTGAGCTATATTAAAAGAAAAGAAAAATTGCGCCTTTTAGTCGCGCCGTCCTTTTGAAAAATTAAAAATGAACAGGAATCGTCAAAAACGGTCTGATCGAAAAAAGAATATTTTTACGTGAAAGAGCGTTCAATTTTCTATAAGAAAATGTCAATATTTAATTTTCAAATTTGCCTACTAACGACAAGCGAAAAGAGCACTGCGACGAAAAGCCCAAAAATTTACGGCCCGACAGTTCGGTAATCAGTTAGCCTACGGTTCTTATTATTCGGCATAGAATCTTTATTCATCAAATTGCTTGAGCTGTTCAAGCTCAAGCAATATGAACGAAATCTATGAAACCTCGCAAAATGGGCTGGCTTGACATGGAATGCCCCATATAGGCTTTATTTCTTACTTATTGTGTATTCATAGTATACTGTCTTGATCAGGGTTGGGTAAGTTACTTTTTTCTTTTAACTAAGTTAAGTTAAAGTTAACAACCTTGAAAATTTAACTTAGTTAAGATTCAAGTTAATGTATAATGAAATTAATTGAATTAAAAGTTAAGTTAATAAAAAAAAGTAATTGAAAAATTAAAAGTTAAATTTTTTTCTATTTTATGATTTCAGAGTCTTACAAATAACGAAAATGACAAACATATACTTCATTTAGAATATACTTTATATTTTATTTAAACTTTTTGTTTATATATGTACTGTTATATATATATATAGATTTCTACCTATCAAAAACTAGATACATTAAAATATACGGTTTTTGCTAGATTGAAATCAATACATAATGTAAATAATGTATACAAACAAAACTTTTAAGTAAAATATAGAGTATGTTCTAAATGAAGTATATGTTTGAGTCTGAGACTTAACTTCAACAAATTTAAATAAAAAGTTAATAGTTATCGATAAAATGTAACTAAATAAAGTTAAACAGTTAAGAGTCTAAAATGTAACTAAGTTAAGTTAAAATTATTTAACTTTTCAACTTTTTAACTTAACTTTTAGCTTTTTAACTTGGCACTACCCAATCCTGGTCTTGATAAATCGTTTATTAGGTAGAAATAAATTTGAACAATATATAAGCACGAGCCATTTGCATTTGGCTAAGTATCACGTTAGAAAAGAAAATTTTTGATATTCTATATACTTATTTCAAGAAATTGCATTTAGAAAAAACACTGAAAATTTTTCATTATATTGCACAACGTTCCTTGTCATATGTCAATCAGATTTTTTTTCTAAAAAGGAAGAAAAATTTCTGTTTAGCACGTTCCGTATGTCTGTAGATTTTATTTACTCTTTCTTTTAGATCTCGTTATTTTATTACTTTATAAGTTACATATTGGTAAAACACACACACACACACACACACACACACACACACACACACACACACACACACACAGAGGGAGGGACAAAGCAAAACAGAAATCTAATACATAGTAATACCTTGCGAAAGATATTTTGGGATAGTTTCGTTCATCCGGTCTCTAGATGGGTTAGAAGGGAACGAGGAAAAAGCATTTAACTAAGGATGGGCGGCAGACAAGAAAGCCGGGATAACTTCATAGTTCACAGTATGGTATCCAAAGGTATACAGCTATCGCGAACTTTTCAAAACGCCATTCGCATAGAACGTTCAGAGCTAAAAGAAACAATGAGACTCTTCGTCTTTTTCCGGCCGGTCGTCCTCGTAGGTTTAGTTGTTTCGACAAGACAAAAAGGAGACGGAGGGGAGTTAGGTTGACTAAGGAGATTTAAACCCGGTTTCAGGCCAATTCTGTGCTGGGAATTTGTGCATCGTTTATTTTATACCTTTTTTCCCTCTCTCTCTCTCTCTCTCTCTCTCTCTCTCTCTTTCTTTCTCTCTAGACCCTAGGTCTGATTCTGTTCTTTTGTTGAAAAGAATATTATCAAAAATATTTATCACTTTTGATTACATGGCAGATTATTTTGCGATGTTGCAGTATCCATTTTTCACGGTTTCTCTTTTGCACTTTCTAAAGTTATTGTTTATAAATCTATTAACAATATTGTTTATAATCTAACTTGAAAATATAAAGAATGACTGCGTTCAGTAGAAAAAGCAACTTTATTGCTACTATTGTAAAATTCTTTAATATATGATTGATATTATTCTTATCCTTATCT